TATCTGAAGAGATGGATTAAGAATGCTTTGGATTAAGGATTGTGGAGCACATTTCAATCATTTTAGGATTGTCAAAAGGAGGATTGAGGAGGATCAGATCAATAATGGAGGCAATGGTATGACTCCAAGTGCTATTGTCACAGATGAAATTGGCAGTATTGACCTTATACTAAAAGGCAAGGGTTGAAAGTGAAAAATATATATATCTACCTTAAAACACTTGCAAACATCTTTTGCAGTTATCATTAAGCTACAATTGCTTTGCTCTTTAAACCTTTGCAATTGTGGCAAAATAACATTGCCCATTTTGTAACTATTTTGCTCCCTTCCCCCTTTTTTGTTTTAATAGGGACTAATGTGGGAAGAACTGGCTAATTTGTCACAGTGCTTAGTTACAACTGTTAGTGTGTGACCTGCTGTTGGTGTACATGTGGGTACAGGGTGTCTTTAATTCCAGTGAGATAGAGTATAATATCAATACTGCTAAATCTGCATGTCCTCTGTGTGACTGATAAAAGAGCATTGCTATTTCATTTTTTTAAGACAAAATGAAAGCAAAATATAGAATGCCAATGTATTGGTGTAGATAATCTAGTTGGGAGTACTTTTTTAAGTCTCACCTTCCCCTTTAATACTCATAATTGACTCACGTTTAAGACACTTTAATTTACAAATTAAATCGCAGATGGGAACATTAGATTTAGTTTAGACTTAGGTGGGTAACTATCAGTGAATTTTTCAACTACATAACTGTAACCACAAAACCTGTAATACGCTGTACAGTAACAAGTGTTGGCATTATCAGTTGAACTGTAAATATAAAATGCTTCTTCCAGTTAGTCTCTATGATGATTTAAGTTTCTAAAATTTATCTGAACACCATTCAGAAACTTGTTTTGGGGAATTTGATAGTTATTGATGTACATCTGTTAAATGGATGACAGACATAACTCATCATTCCCCAGAAACCTTTTTTGATTACAGTATCTAACATTTTGCCTCCTCTTTTTTGGTTTTGCTGGTTATAAAGGTTTGGATTGGAGAGGGCTCACTGGATCCCAATCCTTGGAGCTGGATCATTGGATTCAAATCATAATGTGGATAGGATAGGGAGGATGAATTACAAGGATTCATGGAGCGGGATCAGATTACCAGGAACATAGGAGTGGATTCCTGCCCCAACCAAACCGCACTCGTGTGGATTTTTTTTATTCAACTTAATTGGCTATTCCAAAGCTTTTTTTTTCCTATTTTTGACGATTGGAGCCCTTAAGATGCACGATGGAATTGTGTTTTGCATTTTTTGGTAAAAGGAGCAAAGCGAGGACCTGGAGATAATACGCTGGAGCAATCTCCTTGGAAGGATTCAGCACGAGTAGATGGTAAACATTTAAAGGGGTTAAGGGGGGGTTTGTTTAAAATAGTAATCAGTAAGTCACTTCTAAATTTAAAGAAAAAATTGGAGTTGAAGAATGAGTAGGTTTCCAATTGGCTATTGCCGTTTTTCGTTGAAAAAATAAACGTTTTTTAAAAAACTATGCATGGTTGTCCTTTTTCCTCTTCATGTAAAATTTTAACTTGTAACTATGAATTCTTTAAGCAACGTAAGATTGACTCTTGTTTATGTATTAAAAGTTTCTTGAAAGGCAGTCTAATAAATGCTATTAGCCGTCTCTTATGTTAATTGTGAAAATCATAGGAGGATAACAAGGCAGTTGTATATGTAATGGCAGTTGAGGGGGTGATCTAGTTTGAAAGCTCTTTGCTAAAAAGTGATTAAAAACTTGCTGATGCTGTTTGTTTTGGTAATCATTTATAGACTACAGGCTTGTACAAAATTAGTTCATGCAAGTTAACATTGGCTTGGAAATAGCCTTTGAGTTTCAGATTTCTCAAAAATTGCTAAGTATGAAATGTTAACTTTAAGCACAGATGTATTAGAACTCACCACAAGTGACATTTCCTTTTTGAAATGTGAACAATATGGTAGAAGATTAACTGCTTATTTGGGTTAATCTTTGCCTTGTAAACTCTTGCTAACCCTGAAATTATTCTGTCCCCAAACTTAGGTATTCTGTATCACAGCTGTGATTATATTGTCTACTAATTTTTATATATTTTGATAAGAGCCCCTGGATGCTAAATTTTTTGTTTTTGGGATGGGAAAGAGGTGCTTTATTTTAAATTCTTATTTTCTTACAGCTAATAAGAGCAGTAAACTGTTCTTTTGTATTCAATAGGAATAGCTACATCTTTAACCTTTCCCTTGGGTGCAGACTGAATCAGATGATTATTCTGCTGACATAATTTAAAACATAGAGGAAATGAGACATCTTGATAGTGGAAGAAAGGATTTCCATGATAGTTGTAAGATTACCTAACCATCACATTTTAACAAACCATATGGAGCAGTGATGGCAAATCTTTTAGAGCTTTCAGTGATAAAAACAGCCTGCCTTGGCATGAGTTTGCCACACTGCTGTATACAGTCTATCCTGTAGAGGGCATAAGTTCAAAACCAGGAGTTTTGTTTTAGCTTTGTAAAAGATTGACACAGATTAAGGGTAAATATTTCTAGTTACTGTGTAGGAATTCAAAATATGACCAAGAAGGAATTGCTTTTAAACTGTTTTGAACAATTATATATGACATACTTGCAGTTTTTCATGTGTAGAATACATTTTAAATGCAATATTAGAAATTGTCACATAAGACAGTTTTGAAAGGTGAAAATGAGATAGACTTAAACCTGGCTTAATTTATGTGAAATGTTTTGGAAGCAGGACCAAAATAGAGATAGCATTTGCGTACAGTTGTCTATTTAATCTATGTTAAATGAGAGTACTAAAAGGTTTTAATAGTTTAAACCCCAGATTGAAATAAGATTAAAAAGTATTCTTTGCTATTTAGGCTTGAATTTGAAGATCAGAGAGGACTTAACTACAGTTACGAAAGGTAGAGGGATATAGATTTTATGGTTAGATAATCAGGCAGCTAAAAGCTGCAATAAAGGATAGACTTATTTTTAGTCATAGGAAATGGACCTCTATGCATTAGCAGTTAGAAGGAAATCATACCCTTTTTGAACTACAAAAACTGCCTTGAATTTTTCCCCTATGTGTCTCCTTTAAATATTTTAGGGAACTTATAAGTTTATTTTCTAACCAAGAAAGCACTTAGGTCTCTTTAAGAAGCAGTAATTTTTCATAACCTCAGATTGAATAACCCACTTTGCTGTGCAGCCTACATCCCACTGGAGAAAAAAGGTAAGAAACTTCTGATTCCTAATTGCTTGGGATCTAAATTTTTATTTTAAAAATTAATATTTTAAAATGCTGCTTGGAATATGAATTCCTTTTATTTAAAATGTTTTTTTTCCTAAATTTTTATAATTTTAATAAATTTTAAGTGTTAAATCCACTCATCTAGTGCTTGAGTTCAGTATGATTAATTCCAGAATCTAAACCGCAGTTTTGTCTGTGAAACATGTTCAGTGAGGCTGGTGTTATTTTCAGGTCTCTGGTCAAGGTGAATTTCTTGTGTGCCTTTTTGCTTTGTATGTGGGGTTTGTAACAATTCCAGTTAAACTAAGTTAATGTATTTACCACAAATAGTATTAAAAGGAAAAGTTTCAGACTGAAAATCGGTTGTAACTTGACCACCTTTGGCTTAACATCACAAGTATGAAGAGTGCAAAGGCAGAAAAGAGATTTGCAATCTTTTTATTCACAATTCTGAAATTAAAATCTCTAATTCAGGAGTTGAGTCAGTAATATGTGAAAGCTGATCAGAATAATTGCCTGCACTGTGGTGGTGTACACTTAGGCCAGCACTCAAGAAGTTGAGTGATTGGATTGCTCAGTTTGAGTTCATCCTAGCCTGCATAGTGAGTTCAAGGCCAGCATGAACTACATAGACTGGTTTTTTTGGCTGGGCATGGTGGTGCACCCCCATAATCCCAGCACTCCAGAGGCTGAGATAGGAGGAGGGTTGCCTTGAGTTCAAGGCCAGCATGCACTGCATAGTGAGACCTCAGAATTTTTTCTTTTGAGATCTTCATCTTTGCCCGTAGTGTGACTATACAATTTTCTGCCAAAATGATTGGTGTACTTTGGTTATCATTATGCACTTGCCAGAAACTTCACTGAGGGTGTTACAGTAGTATAGGGCAGTGATGGTGAACCTTGTAGAACTTTTAGTGATAGAGCCTACTGCAGCACATGTGCCATAGGTTCACCACCACTAGAATAGAGTATACCTACCATACTTCACGTCTCTCCTTGAGTTCAGATAAGGGATTGTAGAACTGTGCTAGAATATGTAGGTTTAGCACTTAGGTAATTTTGTGTATAATCTCACCTGGTAGTTTGGATCCTTTGAGATTTGTTTTTCATCTTTTTTTTTTTTTTTTTGGTACCGAGGATCAAACTTGGGTTCTTGAGCTTGCGAGGCAGGCGGTGGAACCACTGAGTTAAATCCCTGGCCCATGTTTTTAGGCTAAAACATCTTTTTAGGCTGAAACAGCTTTTGGAAAATATGACCCACTGGGCCCGGGATTTAGCTCGGTGGTTTTGCCGCCTGCTTCGCAAGCTCAAGGACCAGAGTTCGATCCCCGGTACCAAGAAAAAAAAATATGACCCACATTTCCACATCTTGTTAGAGTAGATTCATGACGATTATTGAAGGACATTCATCTAGAGTGTATAGTACAATACTCTTGATGTAATTATTACTATTTTAGTATTTAACAGAAGCTTTAGCCAATCTGATCGTATGGAAAGGGCTGAGATAAGCATGAAGTAGAGATTATGAGGAAAATGTTTTCTATTGTGGTTATTGGGTAAATATTCCTGGCAAAAACAACTTGCTTTAGACACCCAAGAAGTTAACAGTATGCTTCAGCTTTCATTTATTCCTACCATTGAAAACTTCAAAACCTATACCTGATGACCCTGAAAGTGGTGGTGGTTGTAGGGATCAAGAGAAGCTTTTTTTTTTTTCCTATTATAAAAATCATTTGGTGCTTCACCAGTATGTAGAAGTGAATGTCATAAAAGCTAGGCGGGGCAGGGTGGCATGTACTTGTAATCCCAGCACTCAGGAAGCTGAAGCAGGAGGATCGCTGCGTGTTCGAGGCCAGCCTGAACTATGTATCAAGGGCTTGTCTCAGGAGAAAAAAAGTGGAAGTTGACACCGGAGATTGAATCTAGAGCCAAGCACCAGGTTAAGATGTCAACTCTATTGATAGAACTGTCAATATCAAGAGATACTGGGAATTTGGGAGCCCCTGTAAGATGCACTCATCTCCATTGCATACACTGAACAAAAACCTTTAATTTGTAGGAATCCTAAAAGGTAATTTTTTAGTATTCTGTTCCCTTATCTAAATGAAAATTATTAGGCCACTAGAGGGAGCTATGTCAAAATCAACCCGCTTGGAGGCCAGCTGCCTTGATCCTCTGGATCAGCTCCAAATGATTTGGGTAAAGTTTCTTTTAACATGCCTTCTTATCTGTTGAGTGGTATCTTTTTGCTTTTCAGCTACTGGGTCAGGTTTTAAGTAGTGCTTACTTTTATAGGTACAAAATGTCCCAAATGCTGAAGACTTAAATCTGCTTTTCTACCATGTCATCTAGGTAAGAAGTAGTGAGGGCAGGATTGTAAGAATTATATACAGGAGTAGGTATGCTACAAAGCTAACATTGGTCATGTACCGGTACCAGAAAAAGTGTGTCTTCAAGGGCCTTTTTATCACCGGTGTGACGCAGATGCAGGAGTAATAATATATCAGTATAACTAATTGGTACTGCTAAGTGGCTCAGTTCTTAAAATGTGCTTGACAAGTTAGCTCTTTCATTTCTTAGGCCTTTGGGAGTATCCTGTGATTCAAAAAGTCAGTATAAACCCAGCACACCCTGTAATCCCAGCACTTGGGAGGTTAAGGCAAGAGGATCATAAGTTTCAGTCCTGTTTGCACAGTGTAAGACTTTCACAAGTTTTTAAAAATGGGAGTGTAGGTCAGTGACAGCACCCCTGAGTTTGATTCATATATACACGTGGGTATTTGGTGGTGGTGGTGGGGTACCAGGGATCAAACTCAGGAGCTTGTGCTTGCAAGGCAGGTAGCGGAACCACTGAGCTAAATCCCTGTTTCTTAGGGGTATTTTGACCTTTGACGTCATTTTAGGAGCTTGGGTTTAATGAGAATGAGTTTGGCATTTGTCATTCCTGTCACCCCTCGTGTCTCCGTTTATAGTACTAAAAATGGAAAGGATAAGGGCCGAGGATTTAGCTCAGTGGTTCCGCTGCCTACCTCACAAGCACAAGGACCCAAGTTCGATCCCTGGTACCAAAAAAACAAAAAGATAAACCTCTTGCCTCTATCACTAAAACTAAATACTGTAGAACAGTTTTTAGGCTTGAAAGGAGGGAGTGTGACTTAGTAGTAGAGTGCATGCCTGGCATGTGTGAGTTCCTGGGTTCCATCTCCAGTACCATTAATAAAGTTTTTAGGCTCACTAGATGGGTATTTGTCATCAAGAAGGTGGGTAAGAAAATACAGCATTGAAACTTGTCTGTTTTGAGTAAGAAAATGCCAAAGGTGGACAAATTAAGTGGGTGTTTTAGGAGAGAAGGAATTGACCACACGACAAATTTCCTAGCCTGGTAAGCCAATGTGTGGGAGGCTACAGATGGTAGTTGGTAATTTATGTGAATTGGACTGAGTCTAACTTTAGTCCTAAAAATTTTAGCTCTGGTGTCTGTTTAATAGTTGAACTTTGCCAAAAGGCACTCAAGCTACAAATGTGAATCCAGAATTAAAAGAAGGGTTCAGTTTATACTGTAGAGATACTGAAAGCATACGAAAAGTGTTCTGTTAGGGACCCTTTATGTGGAAGTTTGGGATAAGCTGTAAGAATGGATTGCAAGATCTGCGAAACAAAGTAAACCTGCATCCTTTAAATGGGACTTGAAAGTTTTAGGCTAACTTTGACAGTTAATGTGGCACATCTTGATACTAGGAATGTAGAGGGTTTTTTTAAGGAATGTAGCATATTGGTTAATAATACAGTGAGCATATTGTACAACAAGGCCCACAACAGCTCCTTTGTTCTTTGCTGTAGTAAACTACAGGGTGATAGTCAAGTTCTGTATTTAAGCATAATGTCATTGTATCCATGACTTAGGCCAAATCAGAAATTTGTTTACTTGGCAAAGAGAGTTCTTAAAAGATTTACTATTTGGATTTTTTCCATCTCCATTTGCTATTCCCAAATTATTGTTTTTGTGTGTACTTAAATCCAATACTGAATTACTACCTCATTTGCTGAAGTTTTGTTGGTTTTTTGGGGGGTACCTGGGATCGAACTCAGTTCCTTGCACTTGCGAGGCAGGCAGCGGAACCACTGAGCTAAATCCTCGGCCCGTACTGAAGTGTTTTAAGTTGATCTCAGCAACTGTTCATCCTGGTTGTCAAGTCTGACCTTCCTCAAACATTGTCACTCCCCTCATATGAATCAATGATGGATTGGTTATATTTTGCTTTAACAATTTATCATTATTTTTTAAAATTTATCACTATTCTTAAACCACATCTTCTGGTCTGGTAACTATTTTGTTGGCCATGTCAGGTTTTGCTTCTGTGTGTCTACTTACATCCTTCCTTACCCGCTGCCACCAAGCAGTCTTCAGCTGCTTCAAATCCAAACATTCTCAAAGATTTGGCTTAAGTCGCACTTAAAAAGAATGCTGCTAAAATCCTTTAATACCTCTTTTCAACAATATGCATTTAGTTCCCTTGCTATTTCTTATTAATGTTGAATTTTCTGTGGGTTAAATATTTGGACCCAATGGAATTTTTGTAATAACTTGTAATTCCCAGTGAGCTAAGCGCAATGCTGACAGTTTAACAAATTTTGTCAAGTAGAAATAACCTAATACTCCTTGAGAAGCAAAGTGCTGTAGAAGTCTTGTGTTTTATAAAATATTGGTTAATTCAATTATTGAAAAAATATTTTAATCCTAATATTGGATCAAATAATTCCTCATTAGATGTGAAGCCAGGAAATTCAGATTTAAATGCTAGCCTGGTTTCACTGTGTAGTTCAGGATGACTCTGTGTGTGTGTGTTTTGAGACAGGATCTCACTATATGGTTCAGGCTGGTCTTGAACTCACTATGTGGCTCAGGCTGGCCTCAAACTCACTGCAATCCTCCTTGCCTCCGCCTCCTGAGTGCTGGGGTTATAGGCATGCACCACCACGCCTGGCTCAGGTTTTGTTTTTTTTTTTGTTTGGTTTTTATTTTAACTCACTAGGCCAGGCTGATACCAAACTCACAGTGATCCTCCTGCCTCAGCCTTCTCACAGCTGGGATTACAGGTGTGCCCCACCATGCTCACTCAACCTGAGAAGGTATATGTTGCTCCCAAAACTGGACTTAGAATGTAGAAAAGTTTTGTTGTAAGCTGTGCACACTTATTTCAGTATAGATTACCAAGAATTGATGGTATTGTCTCCTCAAAAACCAAACAGCTTCTTTTGCGGCTGCCTCTTGGATCTTTAAGTCATCTTTTTCTTGGGCATGATTCTTTCAGAGGAAGCTTTAAATTGACTCCGAATTTACTGGCGCTGCCTCAATCAGAATCTCTGAAAATTTCTCAGCCTGTTGAGTTTGAGCTATTTTGTTCTTTTTTGAAATCATGTTCCCACCGGCTTGAAACACCAGTGGTACATACATGACTGTCCCATTGGGCAGCTTTTTATTAATTCTATTAAAAAGATGATTAAAAAAATGATAAAAGTGACTAGATACATTTGTACCACCAGTGATACAAGCTGCCCATGGGACAGCCATGCATGGTTCAAGCTGCCCGGCAGTGAGAGATACAAATTATAGCCCCATCATGAACGTGTTAACTCCATGTCCTAGCCAATGCTGTGTGCCGCAGCAGGCTGTTTGTATCATTGAAAAGCTCTAAAAGGTCCACCATCACTTCTAGGCCCTACAAGTAGCTCCACTCCTTTAGCTATTAAAGTTCTGGCTCTTCTTGATTAGCTAGTGACAATCATTTTTAATATTTTTATTAGTTTGCAATACATATGATTACATCATGGCAAGTTGGCACATGTACAGACCTCATCCTTTTATGTCTCCTCTCCTGACTCAGTTATTCCTGAAATAATTGCACTTCATTTCTGCTTTGGCTTTCTTCGCCATGTTTATATAGTGCATTTATTTTATTTTTTATATTTTGGTACTGGGGATCAAACTCGGGATCTTGCACTTGCAAGGCAGGCAGCGGAACCACTGAGCTAAATCCTGGGCCCCTATATAGTGCGTTTACATGTCCACTTTAAGCTGTACTTGATAGTTGTTTCGTGTATATTTTGTTTCTTCCAGCTACATAGTGAACTCTTGGGGCTAGTATGTTAGGGAAATCTGAGGCAAGTATGCTGTGTAGTTTAGATCTGAGATGCAGGTGCCCCTCTGATCAGATTGGGCTTATTCTCAGTAGTAATCTCAAGGGTTCCTGTCCTTGCTACTTTTTTAGTGGAAAATTTTTGAGGAAGAAAGTGCAAAACCATAGGACAAATACCTGATGTTTTCTTAAAGTAATGCCTGTTTTACAGAGTATTTTGACGTGTGTGTGTGCGTGTGTGTGTGTGTGTACTGGGGAATGAACTTGGGACCTTGCACTTGTGAGGCAGGCGGTGGAACCACTGAGCTAAATTCCCGGCTATTTTGACTCATTTTAAGCCTCAAGTGCTATTGGCCTCATTTTTCATTGAAGGAAAAGCCTGAGATTTTAAATTGGCAGGCTCAAAATTTGAATGCAAGTCATATTTACTACACTATTGCTTTTTGAGGTTTCTCCAGGGGAGAATGATAAATCTGTGAACACTACCTGTAGTAGCTACCTGATGCCACCAGGGTGTCCCATGGTGCTGTGGTTGATATTCTTACCCTGAGAGCTGGGGACTGTTCCAACTACATCTTGTTAGAGTGGCTTATGGCTCAGAGCCTGGCCCCAAACAATGGAATACTTGGCTTCCTGGCTTTCCAGTGTACAGTGCACAGCCAGCCCTTAGAAGCCCTTGCCCTGTTTTTACTCCTAGTCAAACTGCCCCCACAGCCAGTGGGTCACAGAGTAGTCAAGGGCTGGCTAGCCCCTCAGTAACAACACAGCAACCCCTCAGAAGACATTAGCATACAAAAGAACCTGTGAATGGTAAATGTCTATGAACATCAGTGTTTAGTAGCTGAGTATACAGTTCAACAACTTTGTATTAGTAAACTAGAACCATAGCAAAACCAGATTGAATTAACACTATATGTAGATGAATATTACTACTCTTTTGGGGTGGGGCTTTTTGAAACAGTCTATAGTCCAGGCTGGCCTTGAACTTGTAGTGATCCTCCTGCCTCAGCCTGTTGAATGCTGAGATTACAGGTGTGTGCTGCCATGCCTAGCTTAGGTAGATGAATATTAAAAGTCATCGGCAAATGCACTTTCCAGTTTGCAATAAAAATGTTTGTATTATACTTAGCCTGAGTGTGCAGCCTTCTAGCATGAGGGTGTTTTTTTGTTGTTTTTTTTTTTATTGGTTGGTTTTTTAGTAGTAGAAATTGAACCCAGGGCCATGCATGTGCTAGCCACTACCACTGAGCTACATTCTCAGCCCTTAGAATCATTTTTTATATTCAATAATCTTAGATGTCAAAGCTATCTCTTATGAGAGAGCTAATAGGATGAAGTCTCAGATTTGGTATTAAGGAGAAAATACAATCTTTAAAATTTGCTGTTCAAGCACTTTGTACTAGTGTGTATAGCTAACTGGCTTATAATTATTTCTTTACGAGTCTTGATTTCTGCATTGGAGAAGATCCTTAAAAGTATTTCCAGTGGCCAGCATAGCTCCTGAGAATTAGTAAGTGCTCAATATTTACTGGAATAACGTTTCCATAGTAGTTCTGAGATAGTTCTACATATGGGAAGAGGTCTTTGTTTTTGTCTTCAAGCCAATTAAAATTCATTTTGAACTGGAAAGTGCGTTGGATGTCCTGGCCTTTTGAAAGGCTGAGTTCATTGTTTAATGTTGGAGTTCTCATCATGGCCTGAGTTTGAGTCTGTGTTTAAGCTGTTTCTCTTTAGGTATCACCTATGTGCTATCCTAGGACTGGTTGGTTACCCGGCTTTTCAGACTCCCAGGAATAAACTACTGATTCTAGCTATTGAACTTGAGGTCCCCCTTTCCCCTCTCTCCTCCCTGCTTTCTCACATGAGTTTCCAGCCTGAAACTTGTTCAAGACATGGTTTGTTTGGGTTTGTTTTTGTTTATGTAATTGTTTCTGCTGGGACTAGTCCAGTGGCCACATGCACGGTAACTACACACTTTACCACTGAGCTATGCCTCAGCCCTATACCTACTCTTTTTTTTTTTTTTTTTTTTGGTACTGGGGATCAAACTCGGGTCCTTGCGCTTGCCAGGCAGGCGGCAAAACCAATGAGCTAAATCCCGGGCCCT